CATCGCATACGCTTCTAGTATTGTTTAGAATAAGCTATTAAATAGTCATTTAATGATAAAATTCAAATTGAATAAAAATATTTTTGTGTTAGCTATGGTTTGTTTCATCTGGCAACACTACTTCTTACTACAAATATATTAATTTGATGGCATATAATTGAAGCTCATAAAATGAAGTATTGAATAGAGTTGGAATGAACTGATTCATACAATACAAACAAAAGTTATAGTTATTCAAAGTCAAGGAACAAGAATTTTCGCATTAAATAAACTCATACCCAATACTTGAACAATAATTGAACCTGGTTGTCCCTGTGGTCCGATACGTGTTTTGCCATTCCTTCCGGGCGGGCCGGGAGGGCCTCAAGTAATTTGGGTATTCATTAAATTCTTAGTTTTAATTCTGCATATATGTAGTCATTTGTTTCAAAGTTACCTTTAAATCTTGACTGCATTTCATTCAAATGCTCTGAAAATAATCAAACTTTGCGTTAAATAACTATTATTTGTTTTGTGCACAAATAATTGGTCACCTCTTAAGACATTTGTGATAATTTCTTTCAATTCTTCCTCTGTATATGTTTTGCCAGAAACTCCGGGCTCTCCCGGCGCTCCGTTTTGACCCCTGGGACCGGTGTTTCCGGTCGGACCGGGCGTTCCGGGCGGACCCGCCATTCCCGGTGCCCCCACTTCTCCCGGCGGACCGTTGTCTCCGCGCTGTCCGGGAGGGCCCGACTGCACGTTGTGTAGCACAACAACAACTTTTAACATTGCTTCATATATTGTATGCCAATAGCACTCACCTCTCCCTGAATGCCAGGAAATCCCATTCTTCCGGGTTTTTCATCACTTTTGTCAGTTTTTTCATAAATCACTTCGCATTTTGTTTCACACTTTTTAATATAGTTTTGTTGTATAAACACTTAATTAGATTTAATGTTTAAAACAAATGAATAAAAATCTAAAGGGGAAATACTCTCAAAAAGTTTTCAGGTTCAAAAAATTAAAGTTTTTTTAAATAGAATTTTCTATTTTCATTTTGTTATTTAAACCGATGTATATGGCCTTTTGCCGAATTTTTCGATCTAGATGTTCATTAGATATTGTATAGAATATACCTGTATGCTTAAATCAATTTGAACATTTAAAAATTTTTCACTTAACTATTTTACTACCACATTGTACAAGGCATGTGTTATAGTGATTAACTATAATTAAATTTAAATCCTTTCAAAATATAGTAGTCATCCCTTCAAAACCATGATAGATTGCCATATGTGAGAATTGAAGTTTTCATTAACCCTTCACTTTTAAACATTTAATTTCCTGCAAACAAGTGTTGAAAAGAGTTGTCCGGATGTGGACTCAAAGCCCTATACCATTGAATAACTGATATATAAATTGATAAAATACCTGTCCGGGCGGGCCCTGTGCCCCGGAGTCACCTTTTACTCCTGGGATGCCATTAATACCCGGTAACCCTTGAGCACCCGGCAAACCGGGTAAACCTTGAGGTCCCTGTGAGCAATAATTTATTGTTTAAAACTCAATTATTGAAATGTTTATAATATAGTGATGAAACCTCTTCTCCGGACAATCCCTGTTCTCCATCGCTTCCATTCAAACCCTTTTGATAAATTAAATAAAATAAACTTAACGTTATATTATATTATAATATAAAAGCAAACCTTCTCCCCTTTATCTCCCTTCTGACCGTTCGGACCCTTAACCCCGGGCTCTCCTTTATCTCCTGTCTCTCCTTTTACTCCAATTTTTCCCGTAATCGTCGTTCCCTTAAGAAATATTAGTATTTATTATACAATTAAAATATATATGACATATACTTGAGGTCCGGGTGGGCCAACGGGTCCCGGTTCACCATCTCTTCCTGGTATACCCGGAGGTCCAATGGGTCCAGAACTGCCCTAAAAGCACATTCAGTCAATTATAAAAACTACTTTATAATTTATGAAGTTATTAAAAATAAATATATTTTTCAAGAATTTATAAATCAATTACCGGTTCTCCTCTTTCCCCGGGAATCCCGAATCCTTCGCCATCAGCGCCAGGCGTTCCATCACTTCCAGGAGGACCCGTCAATCCCGTCACACCCTGTATGCCTTGCTCTCCCTTAACACACAAACACAATCTTATATTAGTTGTTAAGTATTATAATATATTGGATGAAATACCTTTTCTCCCTTCTGGCCATCCATTCCTGTGTCGCCCTTTTCTCCCCGCAGTCCTGATATCAATCATTTGAAAATAAAGTTATTTTGTAATATATTTTTATTTACAATATTTTATAAAAAGTTGAAAAACCAACCTGGTTCTCCTGCAATTCCTGGAACACCTACGCCAGTTTGACCAGGAGGACCCTGTTCAAATCATACATGTATATTAGGTTTTTTATATTTATGCAAGAATATTCAGACCGGAGGGCCTTCGGGACAGACGGGACATTCACTCATTGGCTGTGTTGGCGATGGCGTGGGAGGCGGGGGCGGAAGGGTTACCACTGGTTTCTTATACTAATTTGAAAAACAATTCAAATAAAACTAATGGTATTTTTAATGATTCAAAATATACCACAAACTCAGCGCACGATTCTCTGTGCGGACGCGTCGGATCACAACTGACCACAAGGTATTGAAGATCTAACTGTTGATTAAAATTACAAATGCTATTAAATTAGAAACAATTGTGACAAACAAAAGACATACGGGAACTGTTGACAAATCGTTCTCATACTTTGCTAACCAAATATCTCCATTCAAATTGATAGGCGTTCTGACGGCCAAAGGAATTGTGGCTTTCATTTGGCAGTTATGAAAGAGAGTGACGTTATCTGAAAGTACACTGAAATGAATTTTATTCCATTCGTTGTCTTCGCAGACAATATCTGGAAATTTCAGTGTTTGGATGCGATTGTTGTAATCCAATGTATATAAGTCTAAGCGCTGTTTCTTTGGCAGATAAGTGATTCCGAACCTAATATTCAGACAAATAGATTGAGTATTTGGAGAGCGAATGCAACGCCTGTACGTAACTGTGCGGCACCCGACTCATCGCTGATCCTAATGACAGTCCACGTCTCCTCTTTTGACGGACGCTTCTTAAAAGAGCAAACAAATGAAAATTGTTGCGGCAGTCCGTCCGGAAACACCTGTCTATCAATTGATTGCATTTAATGGAAAAATTGCATCAAATTATTAATAAAATTGTTGGGCAAAAAGGAAATAAGATGATCACCTCGTGGGTAGTGTTAGGTCTGCTTTTCTCGACAAACGATAAGCGGTTTGTATTTTATTTGATCCGCGAACGCGTTTCACTCCCGGAAAGTCCAGATCGATGTCATCCAATTGGAAGCGTCGGATCAGATCAAAAGTGGGCAAATCATCGGCTCCTTCGATAATCAGAGGACATCCGCCGTCTGTTTCTAAAAGAAAGCCAATTATTATAATTTTAAAGCTTTTAGTATTGTATCAAAAATACCAGATTCTGTCGATTCTAACTGTTGTCGACGCGAATCAAATCCTTCAACTTAAAAAAGCAAAGTTATCTCAATTAGCGTCTATAGGTATGAACCAAATTGACTTACAATGAGCTCCCAATACGTAAAATCTATTGATTGTTAATAAATTGAGCGTAAAATATATAAAGCATTGTTTGCAAACATTTAATAATTTCATTTCTAATTAAATATTCATATAAATGTCTATTTAGCAAAAATTTGATGTGAGTTAACATTTGCCATAAAAATATTGGCAAATCATAACTATAGTGTAGTGTTGGAGACTTGGATACGATGTGAACCTCATGTGTTGCCTTAAGATTTTCACAGAAATCATATTTCCTATGTTTTCATATGAATAGTATTTTTTGTAAGAAATTCTTTCAATGAATTATTACTATAAGTCTAATAATCTTTTCGTAGGAAATATTCTTAACAAAAAATTGTTTGAAAAAAGTTTAGCAAATGTTTCGATGCGTTAAAAGACATTTGTATGACATTTGTTAGTGAGTTATGTTTCGGATGTTTTAAACCATTAATTAAAAAACCAATAAATGAATAGAAGTTTAACCCAATTTGTCGTCAATTTTTAAAATTAATGCTAATTTTGTTTTTAAAAAATAAATTTTATTTTTATTATTATTTTACTCATATTTTATGAATCAATACAAACATATGATTCGTGAATCAAATAATTTATGTTTTGTCTAAAAAGAATAATTTAATAAAATTTATATCATATTTTGTAATACATTTAAAATACAGTAATAAAAGCTATTATCTAACAAAACAATTAACAAAATCTATTAAAACTTTATTTAGTATTAAAAAACAAATTCAAAAAACTATTCTTCAAATACTTATAAAATATTTAACCAAAAATTAATTTAATCACAAAATGTTAATCATTTACGTTATAAACAAATAGTTAATACAAATAATAGAAACAATGAATTAAAATAACAAATGGATTGAATATAGGAGTGAATGAGTGGGCAATTATTCCTTGGCGTCGGCGATACCGCCTTCAGTGATGGCAAAAGTGGCCTCATTTTCGGGCAAATCCGGCGAATCATAGATTTTGGCGATTCGACACTCACTTCGACCCTTTCGCAGAGATATGCGAACAGTGGACGCGTGCGCCAGAATGTGGCCACCAATCGGCTTCTTGGGGTCCGCCTGGAAAGACATGGCCGCACCTGAACACACATTATAGGCATTAATTATGAGTTAACAACTGTGACAATGAGTGCAAACCCGGATCGGCGGTCATTTGATTGGTGATAAAAACGGCGACATTATATTCTTCACTGATTTTCTGTAATTTAGACATCATTTGAGCTAATTTTTGTTGTCTCTCTGAGAGCTCTCCTCTTCCGCTGTAATCGACTCTAAATAACGCCATAATTGAGTCCACAATCAAAACCTTGAATTGACCGCAATCTTCGTGGAATTTGGCCGCAACAGCGTCTTCACCACCAAATATGGAGAGAGAGAGAGAGAGAGAGAGAGAGAGAGAGAGAACAAAAATTAGCTCAAATGATGTCTAAATTACAGAAAATCAGTGAAGAATATAATGTCGCCGTTTTCATCACCAATCAAATGACCGCCGAAGTGAAGACGCTGTTGCGGCCAAATTCCACGAAGATTGCGGTCAATTCAAGGTTCTGATTGTGGACTCAATTATGGCATTATTTAGAGTCGATTACAGCGGAAGAGAGAGAGAGAGAGAGAGAGAGAGAGAGAGAGTAATTTCAAGCAATAAATTCATGTATTTATTCATACCTAAGATCTCGTACTGATGTTCACTAGTGTTGGCCCTAACGTACAACACATTGTCGAGCGCCGAGTCTTCATCCAAACCAAAACGGGACGCGATTTGTCTTCAAATTGAGTGCAATTTAATACAAAACTCATTATTAAAAGCATTGAATGTATACTTGAGTCGATTGGGACGGAATGTCTGTTCGGTATCGATGAACATAGCTTTGCCACCAGAATAGCCATCCGCTGGTATTTGAGCCGTCACTGCAATGGATCCAAACAATGAAATCAATGGTCAAACACAACATCATATGATTGGCTAATACTGACCGCAGAGTGTGTGCGAGATCTGAGTCTTTCCGCAGCGGAATTCGCCGAACGCCTCAGTGATGGCCATCGACTCCATCCCTCCGCCCAACAGTTTGCTGTCAATACATATCACAGTCAGTCATGTGAACAAAACCCATACAATGGTAAACACGAACTCGAGTTCTAGAGATCCGGTCGACACTTTGAAGACGTGTCGGCGTTTGTGCGACACCTGATTGGCGGTCATAAACAGCGGTTCTGTCGACAGTTTGGCCGCCGTTTCGCGGATTTTGTCAATCTTTGCTTCACTCAAACCCTTGATTTGGATCAACTTCTTCTTGACAGTCATCTGAAGACCTTTTATCGTACAAATGCCTGAAGTCTTCAGTTTCTTAATGTCTGCGCTGTTCTGCGGATCAAATGAACGGATCAATAGAAGTGATGTCTTGAGTGGCAGCACTCGAATGGACTTACGATTCCGTGGTTTTGCAAGAGATCGATGTCTTGGAAGAATGAGTCCTTCGATTGTCACCCGAAGAATGGTATAAACAGATGAGACAATGAGTGGTCAACGCATACACAACACTCACCTCCTCGTCATCGGTGGCGCTGTTGTCCAACTGTTGCTCCGCTAAAGACATGGCAACGGATGTGATGTAGTGTTGGCTGCGATGTAATGGTCAGCCAATTGTGGATCAAATGCAGTGATAATAGTCTTCTGAACGAATGGATCGATGGATGGATTCGTTTCAGAGATTCCTTTCAAACACTAAGAAGTTTTGTATTCGCCGTTCGATTAGACCTCCAATGATTGAACTCGACGTCTGATTGGTTGTCGCGTTCGACGCATGCGTCGCATCGCGTCGTCTGTTTTGTGTTGTGTTTTTGCGTTGATTTGTGTTTTGATCTGTTTTTTGGACCCGTTTTGAGTGATGTCTGCAAACGATTGTCTCAATTGTGCGAAACAGTCGGAAGTGATCGCCGATCAGAAGAAGAAGATGGCGTTGATTGAGGTCCGACTCAAGGATCTGGTGATGGCCTACAAGAAGGTGTGCTCCGAAAGAGACAATCTTCTGGCCATCGGTTCCGCAGCTGTTCTGCCGTTAAATGATTTACACGAACAGCAGAAGAGGTTGTCGTCACTCGAGGCCAGTGTCTCAGATATGGCCGCCATTTGTGGCAAATACGAGTCACAGAGCGTTAAAGACAAGCAACTGATCCACGAGTTGACACAAAAGTGCGAACAATTGTCCACCGATTTGTCCAAATCTCACGAAACCAATGATACAAACGTTTCGCACAAACGGTCGACGATATGTGAGAAGACTTTCAGACAAAGAGGTATACAAACGGACGAGTGGTTGGAAGCGACGGACGAGAGAGCGGATCCAGTGATGGACAAAGAGGTGAAACACACGGAAACACAAACAGATGTGGTCTCAGAGTTTGATGTGTTTAACGGCAGTAATCGAAAGAGAACCGAATTAGCGGTCGTTTTGCCCACACTTTCCGAAACACAACCAAAAGAATGCGAATCAGATTTGGATCAGTTGTCCGACAGAGAGACGAGTCCAGTGCATAGCGTGGCGTCTAATGGTTTAGACAATTATCCTGTGTTTGAGACGAACGGCAGGGAAATGTGTGTCCAAAGCAGTGGTGACCTGTTCTCCGGGGCCAACACTAGCGGAGTGTCGCTCTTCTACGCCAACGAATTGGCCCGAAAAGAGATAGATTTGGCGGAGACTCGCATTCAGGCGCGCGAACACGAGTGCGCTCTCAGGGAACTGCTCTGGAAATACAATACTGAGAAATACAAGTTTGTGTCCACACAAGTGTGTCACTCATGAAACTAATGTTGATATTACGGCTCTTTTCAGATCCCAAACCCGTATCAATGATTTGGAGAGAAATCTGTCGCAAATGTCTTCAAACCAACCGTTGAGTCAATTGAATGTGACTTATATTCGCAATGTTTTGATGAAACTCTTGAACACTAAAGACAAACAACAAAAACAGTTTATGATTAACGCTATTCTCACAGCTTTGGAGCAAAAGGATCGCAAACCTAAATGACTTTCAAATGCTTTTATTAATTCAAAACTAATTGTAAAGTAATTAACAAATAATTATGTCAAACAATAGCCAAATCACGGGTTGTATTAATTTTTACAAATGTTTTAATCGTCAGTATTTTCATTGACTGATTGTTCAATTTTATTGAATCGTTATTTTATATATACATTGAATTATATTTATGTAACACTCATATGAAACAAATTGATAATATTTTTATTAATAAATGGATAATATATTTATAATTGAAAGAAATAGTGAATATTAGTTGTCATTCAAAACATGAATACATTTGCATTCAATTAGTCAACTGATAGGCAGGGAATCGGCTGTTCTTTGGTCGCAACAGATCTGTCAAATAATATAGAGTTCCTGCGAGTCCTTCAAACATAGAAAATGGTCGGTCGGCTGTACGGCAGCCGTGTTTTCCGTAATCACAACACCACTGACCGAACTTCACGGCTCTCAACACATACTTCTCTTCTTTGGTCAACTGATACATCCTTAAGAAGGCGTAACCGTTTCCGGCCGTCCCGTGACATAAGCCATAGCCTTACCGTTAAATTTACAACAAAGTCAATGACTATTCAAAACTTCAAAACTGATTTAAAACTCCAAACCTTTAACGAGAAGTCCTCTCTTCCACACGAGTTCACAACAATCTTTGGCTGCCGTTAGATATTTATCATCTTTGAACACCTGATACGCCAACGCAAACATATGGACAGTACCGGGACTTCCGTGACACCAGTGGACCAACACATCCGACATGTCGTCCAAACCCGACGGAAAGTTTCCCGAAGAAAGTCGAAGCGATAAAATGAAATCAATGGTTGGTTTCACGCATTTATTTAACTCATCGTCCGTCAGATAACTCTTGGCCTCTAATAGAAGAGCCATAATCCCAATGTATCCGTGAGCTGCTCCCAGATATGCACTTTTGTGCCAGTAATACATTAGCGGACATTTGGCACTCATATTATCCTTTTGAGCGCTTCTTTGACCCGATTTAATGATAGCGTCGACAACAGCTCTGATGTCTTTGTCTTCAATGATTTGATGAGAAGTTGGGACAAACTTTCGGACGTAAAGTAATGAATAGAGAAAACCAGATCTTCCGTACAGGAGTTCGTCGGGTGTATCGCTTCCAATGTCTGTGCAGTACTTCACCATTGATTTCAATGTATTCAACGATGAATTGCATTCATTTTGATTGCCTTTCAAATGATGAATAACTGATGCAATGCTTAAGACTCCGGAATCGCCCAAAAGAAAAGAAATGTCACGCCTTTTGAGCCGTAATCTCTTGATTACCGGTTGAATATATGGAAGCGCTTTGTCTAAGAGTTTGCGGTCATTGAGTTGTATTAATTTTTACAAATGTTTTAATCGTCAGTATTTTCATTGACTGATTGTTCAATTTTATTGAATCGTTATTTTATATATACATTGAATTATATTTATGTAACACTCATATGAAACAAATTGTTAATATTTTTATTAATAAATGGATAATATATTTAATTGAAAGGAATAGTGAATATTAGTTGTCATTCAAAACATGAATACATTTGCATTCAATTAGTCAACTGATAGGCAGGGAATCGGCTGTTCTTCGGCCGCAATATTAGACAGTTTATTATATCTCAAGGACGCTCAGGAAGTTTGTATCTTTTGCCAGCCAGCCGACATGCCGTCGGCACTCTGGGCATTAGTGTTGTGGTGACTGGCTTGGCTTGCCGAGAGTTGTGTATGTTCTCTTCTTTGGTCAACTGATACATCCTTAAGAAGGCGTAACNGAGACCCGTAATCACAACACCACTGACCGAACCGAACGGCTCTCAACACATACTTCTCTTCTTTGGTCAACTGATACATCCTTAAGAAGGCGTAACCGTTTCCGGCCGTCCCGTGACATAAGCCATAACCTTATCGTCAAATTCACAACAAAGTCAATGACTATTCAAAACTTATTTAAAACTCCAAACCTTTAACGAGAAGTCCTCTCTTCCACACGACTTCACAACAATCTTTGGCTGCCGTTAGATATCTCTCCTCTTTGAACACCTCATACGCCAACGCAAATATATGGACAGCACCGGGACTTCCGTGACACCAGTGGACCAACACATCCGACATGTCGTCTAAACCCGACGGAAAGTTTCCCGAAGAAAGTCGAAGCGATAAAATGAAATCAATGGTTGGTTTCACGCATTTATTTAACTCTTCGTCCGTCAGATAACTCTTGGCCTCTAATAGAAGAGCCATAATCCCAATGTATCCGTGAGCGGCGCCCAGATATGGGCTTTTGTACCAGTAATACATTAGCGGACATTTGGCACTCATATTCTCCTTTTGAGCGCTTCTTTGACCAGATTTTATGATAGCGTCGACAACAGCTCTGATGTCTTTGTCTTCAATGAATTGATGAGAAGTTGGGACAAACTTTCGGACATAAAGTAATGAATAGAGAAAACCAGATCTTCCGTACAGGAGTTCGTCGGGTGTATCGCTTCCAATGTCTGTGCAGTACTTCACCATTGATTTCAATGTATTCAGCGATGAATTGCATTCATTTTGATTGTCTTTCAAATGATGAACTTGACTACGTTACGAATTCTGAGGCCTTAGCGGGTTTTCTTTTCTTTACAGTGCGGAAAACTCGGCATTAGAGAACTAATGGCCAACTTATATACCTTCGCGAAACAGATTCTCAAACGCCAGTAACAAGACATGAAACAAATGAAGATATAGTAACGCATAACCAGTACTTCCCGTATAAACGCTGTAATCATTTGAATCAATGTTTTGGCCGACATTTGCCTCAAAATGTGTCAATAATTTTGAATACTCTTTAAGAAAATTGTCTTTGAGTTGAGTATTGAGTGCATCACTGTTTTGATCCAATACGGCATCCGATGGCCGATAGTCTTCGTACGGGTTATCGAAATACCTTTTGCTTGACATCACTTTCTTCACCACAAAAACTATAGATTTGTTTTAAGTATTAGAATAACAAACTGTTGACTAACGTATTGTTTTTACGTAACTTTCGATACAAACATTTGTTTCCGTTGCTAAAAATACTTGTGTACAAAACCAAACTTTAAATTTTAATAAAAACAGTGTTTTTCACAACAGTTTTCAATGAAATCACTTTTAACTGTATTTTATTTGTTTTTAAGAAAATATTTTCTTAGTTTTTGTGCAAAACTTTTTATTTTGAATCAATGAGTGAAATGAGAGACGAAGACACGGAACCAATGGGTGACAATCGGAGTGGGAATGTGTGTGACTTGGAGTCGGAGGCGTTTGACGCGCGATCGTCGCTAATGGCGGCCACGGATCAGGTGGTGATACCGGTGTCCAGCGCTCGTGTCTTCAATAATATCGATGAATACTTTCGTAAAAGTTTTGGTAAACAAAACGCTTTAAAACATTTGCCACCCGTTAGTGACCCGTCGGTTGAGCCGCCATTCAAGCGGACTCTTGTGATCGAGCCGTCGGTCTCCACACATAAGGCACGGGAAGTGCACACAGTGTTGACCAAAATGAAGACATCGCCCGCCAAAGGGCCCAACGCTCTGCTCCTCAAATGTCTCAACAATAGGATTAAAGTAATGATTAGACGGCGAAAGAGAGTACAACTGTTTGGCGAAAGGTTTGGATGGGTTTGCGGTCTATTGATTGCTTACGACAAACACCACAACCTATGCATGACTGATGTCGACGAGAAGTACCAGACATTGTCTCGCAATAACACACCCATCGATGTCTGCAATCATATAAAGCAAGTGTTCATAAGAGGCGATAATGTGGTACTCATTAGTTTGGTTTGATTTAATAAAATGTCATTTCATTTGTTATATACAGTGCATAGAAGTGGTGCCAAAAGTAAAATCATTTTATTTCATACATGTATATATTTGTGACAAAAATATTAAAATTGTGTTAAATATCATTAAAATGTTGTTAATTATTGTGCATTAAATGTTAAAAGAAGTTGGAGTTTAAAATATCATTAAAAGGATTAAATAGTGTTAAAACTTATATACAATAAAAATTAATTGTTTCGATTAGACATCAATGGTTTAGGAGTTGGCAATCGTGACAACGGTTGACTTATGGCCACAAATGTCTGCTCCGATTCTGCTATCATTTTCAGACTTGAATTGGATTTGTTTTTGGATTGAAGACCGGCTTTGCGTTTCTTATCAGTCAATGGCTTTATGTTCTCGTCATTAGAGCTGAAACTCTTTGCAGAACTGTTAGAATCGGACAGGAATTCCGACTCATTCTCTTCGGGAAGCGATGTATTGCAGGCGCTGTTGAGTCGAAAGCGTTGCAGAATCCTGTCGTGTGGAGACGTCTGAACCAACTCTCGCGGGAAACTATATTCAGTCTTCTGCGGTGTGGTTCCGGTCGGCATGTCTTTGATTAAGTCGTTTCTGACAAAGGCTTCAAAGCTCTTGTGTTGGTTCTCAATCTCTCGGATCTGCGATCTCTCCATCGTTTGCGACATTCGACTCATTTCCGATGTCTTCTCCGAAACACATTCATCGATATGTTTAATATTGTCTGCGATTTTATCCACAAAACACTTCTGTTCGTCGAGTTCTTCGTGCAAACGATCGGACATTGTTTTGAGCGCCGATTGTTTGGCAGACATCTGTTTGTCACACAAATTGATTGTATCGACAGTCAAGTGACGGAATTGTATCATCTCCTCAGACGCCGCCTTATTTCTAGTGCTAATCAACTCTTGCGTCTGATTCGGAAGTGAAGTGTTTTTGTTATTCAATTCACTGATTGTGTCCATCAATTGCTGCGTGTTTTCTGTGTTCAGGTTATCAACGCTTTCGACATAATTGAGGCCAACCTTCTCCTCGACATTGATTTGACACATATAGCCGTCGATTTTGGAGCTAAACTCTTGCAGACAATTCATGCCATTCTTCGTGTCAATCAATTCATCTCTCAATTCTTGCAAATTCCTGCGATCGGCGGTAAAGCTCTCGATAAACTGCTCTAACTTTTTGTCTTGCAATTCAATGGAGCGCTCCATTCGATCTATAATACCCGTCAGTTTCTTAGCTGTAAATAGAAATTAAAAGTTAAAATGCAATCAAAATAACTGTCATCTAAATCAAGACATACTCTTGTCGTCATAAATAGTTTGTATGTTATTCTTAATACTGTTGAATGAGTTAACAGTGATTTTGGAGACATTCTTGAGTTGAGTGTTCTGTTTCATAACCAGTTCTTCAATGTCTTCCCTTTGTTTCGGAATAATTGCCGTCAGTTTTGAGATGTCTTCTGAATTAGTTGTTTGATTTCGCTTCACATCAGACAATATCTCATTAAAAGTTTGGCCCAAAAAGGTTAACATCTCTGAGTTGTTATCACTCAATGTGTGGATCTGTTCGGACACAACTCTATCCTTCAACAACGCTTTCGACATAATTGAGGCCAACCTTCTCCTCGACATTGATTTGACACATATAGCCGTCGATTTTGGAGCTAAACTCTTGCAGACAATTCATGCCATTCTTCGTGTCAATCAATTCATCTCTTAATTCTTGCAAATTCCTGCGATCGGCGGTAAAACTCTCGATAAACTGCTCTAACTTTTTGTCTTGCAATTCAATGGAGCGCTCCATTCGATCTATAATACCCGTCAGTTTCTTAGCTGTAAATATAAATTAAAAGTTAAAATGCAATCAAAATAATTGTCATCTAAATCAAGACATACTCTTATCGTCATAAATAGTTTGTATGTTATTCTTAATACTGTTGAATGAGTTAACAGTGATTTTGGAGACATTCTTGAGTTGAGTGTTTTGTTTCATAACCAGTTCTTCAATGTCTTCCCTTTGTTTCGGAATAATTGCCGTCAGTTTTGAGATGTCTTCAGAATTAGTTGTTTGATTTCGCTTCACATCAGACAATATCTCATTAAAAGTTTGGCCCAAAAAGGTTAACATCTCTGAGTTGTTATCACTCAATGTGTGGATCTGTTCGGACACAACTCTATCCTTCAACATAATAGTAGACAAAGAAGAGATCTGTTCAGCCGTTAGATTAGTTATGGAAGTGTTTTTGCTCTGAGTGTCGGTCACAACGGCTTCGGTGGCCGTTGTCTTCTCATTGATGGCGACTTTCATTTCGTCCAAACCGTCGTTATATGAAATGGTGGTAATCGACACCAATTCCTTCAATCGGCTCATATCGCACGTAAACTTCTCCTAAATTTCAATCATATGTTAACAAAAAGTTTGATTTTTAATTCAATACTCAAACCAAACCTGGAATTCATTAGTTTTGGTCCAATTGTTTGTTTCGACGCCTTTCTGTCGATCGACTTTACTGTGACCTAAATTTCAATCATATGTTAACAAAAAGTTTGATTTTTAATTCAATACTCAAACCAAACCTGGAATTCATTAGTTTTGGTCCAATTGTTTGTTTCGACGCCTTTCTGTCGATCGACTTTACTGTGCAGTTTGTGAACGTCAGAAGTGGTGATCTCCGCCACATTCAGCAGATCTTTGGCCTGATTTGTGAGCAATTTCTCGGAGTCCACGTGAACGCCAACCAAATGCTTTTGTTCGTCTCTATCGACTGTAGTTATGTGTAAATCACTTTTGGTTTGCTTCAAGTCTTGAGTTGTATTCTCCAAATTCTTGGACGTAATCTCCAGTTCTGTCACTTTGGTGTTCAGCTCTTCTTTCGTCTCCTCAAACAAGTGCTGTATTTGACTCATCTCTTCGTGCAGTGCATTAATCTCTGCCATTTTCTCCTCGATGTCTTGGATCTGATCCTTAATCTGTTGTTCCATTTGTTTGAAGTTCTCTTCGTTCACATAAATGCCATTCTTCTCGCGCGCGGCCAACAAATCGCGTCGAAGTCTTTCAATCTCTTCGGTATACTCTCTGAGAAGAGTCTTTTTGCTCATCCGTTGATTGATCTCCGGTTTGTTTGTAATCTTCTTTGCTCTGTGGGCGTACTCGAGGGTCGACAGGGAGTCGTCGGCGTCCACAATGTTTGGCGAAATGGTCGCTATAATCGACGTCTTTGTGCGGCCGCCGAGCGATTCCTGCAGAAGACGCGTCAACTTTGACTCGCGGTATGGGATGTGTGGCGTGCGGTCGACGAGGGATGTGATGACTCGGCCGAGTGTTAGCAGACTCTGGTTGATATTGCCGGCCTCGCGGGCCCTCTTGTCCTGAGCGCCGGAGCGGCCGATGTTCTCACTGCCGGCCAAATCAACTAAATTNCTTCTCGAGACATTTATGTAATTCAATCGGAATTCCGAACACATTATTGGGTATAGAAAGAGATATTGTGTCAAATGTGTCCAAATGTAGCGGAAATTTATGCGAACACTTTCGGCAGTAGAGTTGAGAGCATAGCATCCCTTTCGTCGGCAATGGCTTTACGATACGATTATCGCCGCAAACATTCATATGCGAGGCTCGCGTCTGAATGGCAGGACTGGTCTCGGGTGACGACTCGTTCATCAATCCCTAAAACATTCAATATATTTGCCATTTATTTTATCACATTCTTGGTATCAATCAAATCATCATTTTGTGCAATAATTAAATCAATAAAATGGCAAAACAAAAATGCAAAGCCAGTCAAACAAACCTCGGCTATAAGAGCGTCCTTTAGAGAGTAGACGGGAAACGATGAATACAGCTCTGACTCCAACGTATCCGTCAATACGTTAAATAACTCGAAGGCGTCCTTAATTGGAGGCAAAAACCAAATGAAAAATAAGTATAATATTTAAGATAAGACTAAGAGAGTAAGCATTAGAGCAAACAGTATAAGCATTGAACGACTGCTTATAAGTTATATAATATATAAATATAGGTATCGATCGGTTTAGTATTACCTGTTCTTCATTACGGATCGTCCACTTGTGAGCTCTCAATGCCTTCAATACATTATCACAGCTATAGGAAGAATCGTAGGACTGATGACTGAGCGACTCATCGCCGAGCGATTCATTATTGAGGACTTTAACAATAGAAACACAAAAACAAAGTCAAACATAAAGAATAATTCAAATTATCGTTAAAGCGGTTCCAATAAATTAGGGATCACTTAATTCGAGCGAAAAACCAACTTTTTCACTACACTATTAACCATTAGTTTGGCGTTTGGATCACTTCTAATCATTATTATAAAGAATTGTTTCCCTGTTTTCCCATTAAATTCTTATAAATTTATTATTAATAATGAATTCATTCAAACATTTAATGCCATTAAAAGCTGAATTGAGAAACAGTGCAATTAAATAAAATACTTTTTGTGTTTTGAAAAACTTTAAGTACAATAGTTTCAGTAAAAATAAGTATACTTTTGAGACATTGACTGTAATTAATGCAAACTTTAAGCAGTATTTTCTGATTACTGAATATATATTTCTAATTAAACATATTTTTTAATTAAAATCTTTTTATTAACTCTCGTTTATAATTCTAATGCAAAATAAAATTAAAATTAGTTTTCGAGTCAAACATTCATTTCTAAGATAAAAAAGTAATAATTTTCTCATTGAATGGAAAATCGATTGAAAAGAAGGCAAATATTTTGCTTCAATTTTTGGAGCTTTTATTAAACTATTAATTGTCTAAAAGAGATAATAATATTGTTTTTACCATTGATTGTATTGAGAAGATTATGGGTAAGACTATTGCCATCATTACTATGTAAACCATTTGCATAATTAAGCCATAAATTCATTGATTTGGACGACGATAGGGACTGAAGGATAGCATTAATGAAGCATTGATTGCCATAATTGTAGAGTCCATTCACGCCATTCACTACAAATGCAAAACACATTAAAAGCTATTTTATGCTAATTTTAAACAATTTGTAATACATTTGTTGGACTTCTTAGACGACGGTTTGGGTCCGTAAAAGACATACACAACGGATGCAAAACCCAATGATAGGGCACTCAATGCCAGACATGTATTGCTTGAATATTCAAACATTTTTGGTCTCAAAATTATCGGCGATTTCAACACAAAATTAAAACCAAAATATAATTATTGCCAAAACTATTGTCACAAAGAAAACAATTTATTGGGAAATAAATGGCTAAACAAAAACTCCTGTGTTTTGGAATTTTGTGTTGAGTCAAAAGGTCACCAAAACACAGCTTTGCCTATGGTTTCTTTTATGTTAAGTTTGGTTTTTTCACAGAGTTTTACACACAGTTTTGTTTGACTTAACCATTGATTACACGATCGCTTGAAAAAAAATATTGTCTATATTTTACGCACTGATTGTCACATGAAATACAATTCACGCAAACCTTTCACTCAAAACACAAATCATATATTGATTTTCGATACAAAAAATATTTATAAATATTTGTTATTAATATTTATTTCACTTTTTTCGACGGATTTCACGACACATAACAACACGAAAAATATAGATTTCTTAAACCCTTTTAAAACAGACAAACATTCAATTAATTAATAGATTTTACTGTTAATGAGAAACACATTAATTGCAAAAATATTTACGTAAACATTACTTTATTGTTTTTAGAATGACAATAAATACTGTACTAAAGTGTACAGAAAGTTTAATTTTGTTTGTTTGCTAACTTAATATTTAAAAACTTTTTGATTACAATAAAAGTCTTAAGAGATGTGTGTTTACGTCAATCACAGCGTTATCTATGAGTCGGTGTTGTTATGCATTCATTCATTACATTCACACTTATATCGCAATCAATACATGTGTTTATTAATTGTAGTTTCAATTCATAAGTGAAATGTTAGTGAAAGTGTTGTTTAGTGACGTTTATTATGTGTGATAACAACAGATAGTTACTTAGCGGTCAAGTAACTGGGTATTTATGTTGTGTAAAGCGTTAGTTATAGTGTGATATTACATGCCTATGAGTCCAATGCATATTCCGGGGCCTATTATAAAGTGCTGGGTTTGGGACAGTTTAGGGCTATTATACAAAGTTATGGAAAACAACTTATTTAAAATATAAGCCTAATATTAATCCATCTGAAAATTATTCCATAGGAATATAATGGAAAATTTGTTTCAATTATCACTCATACGAATCTTAATACTACACAAACAGTCAAAATCCTAATTTAAATCTTAATCAAAATAACATTATTTGAAAATATTTAGGCCTAAAAACATGTTTTAGTAATTGTCATAAATTATGTCCACAAAAGCCTTTTAAATTGAAAATGGATTTAAATTGATTACAATTAATAAAAGTAATTTACACATCATTTTATTGGTTCTTAATATATATTACAATTAAAATTATATTATTTATAATTAGTTTTGTGTTAATTAATGTTATAATTAGTTGTATTATATTTTAATTTAATACAAAACAACAATATTTTGAACAAAAAAGCCGTAATTGATGGTCAGTTGGGAAGTGGTGTAGAGATTGAGAGCCAATGAGAAGTGAGATAACATTCAAAGTGTAAAAGCGTTTCAAACGTTTGAAATATTGAGTGGAAAACAGTTTTCAGTCTTTTGTGAATCGTTTGAAGAGTGAAAGCATTTGTGACAATATTTTTAACATTATTTTAATTAGCATTTTATCAACCGATCAATTGATCCGTACTTTTACTGCCGAAGAGATCTAGTCACCAACATTCGCTACCGTGGATAGCACTGCTACTGCCCAGGCTTCTGTGGCGTGCCGTTCCTCTGCTGACAGCGCCTACACTACGTTTTGTAGTTTCAGAAGCAGTCTACAGCTGGTAACTTGGCGACGGAGAAGAAGAACGTGATTGAAGTGATTCCCGAACGCCGAGAGGTTCGCATCAATGAGTCGAAGAACTCGAACGAGAGGTATAACAGCAAGACTTTCACTTTCGACAACGTGTTCGCCTCCGACACCACTCAACTCCATGTCTACCAATCGGTTGTGGAACCGCTCATAGAGCAGGTGGTGATGGGCTATAACTGCACGGTCTTTGCCTACGGCCAGACGGGAACCGGTAAGACATACACTATGGAGGGCGAGCGCAGTGACAGCGACTGCTCGTGGGCTGACGACCCGACCGCCGGTATTATTCCGCGCGCTCTTCACCAGCTCTTCGAGACCCTGTCCTCCGAGATGTGCACCGAATACACGGTCAGAGTGTCGTTCCTCGAGCTCTACAACGAAGAGCTCTACGATCTGTTGAGTGGTATCGACGACACGACCAAATTGAAGATCTTTGAGGACGCGAACCGCAAGGGATCCGTTCTCGTCAACGGACTCGAAGAGATCACCGTTCGCTCGAAGGCCGAGATCTATGACATTCTGCGCAAAGGCAGCGCCAAAAGGCAAACGGCGGCCACACTGTTGAACGCCTGTTCCTCCAGAAGTCATACCATCTTTTCGGTGACGGTTCACATCAAAGAGAACGCCATCGATGGCGAAGATTTGGTCAAAATAGGAAAACTTAATTTAGTTGATTTGGCCGGCAGTGAGAACATCGGCCGCTCCGGCGCTCAGGACAAGAGGGCCCGCGAGGCCGGCAATATCAACCAGAGTCTGCTCACACTCGGCCGAGTCATCACATCCCTCGAGCTGGCGTGCGGTGTGTAGGGTATGGCGCTCAGTTTCAACTGCGCAGAAGACGTCCTTAGCGAGCCGCCGGCGTGTTTCTGCAGCTAATATCGCTGGTAAAGCGGTTTGTAACACCTGCGGCTGCTTTCCCTGTCGACCCTCGAGTACGCCCACAGAGCGAAGAAGATTACAAACAAACCGGAGATCAATCAACGGATGAGTAAAAAGACTCTTCTCAGAGAGTATACCGAAGAGATTGAAAGACTTCGACGCGATTTGTTGGCCGCGCGCGAGAAGAATGGCATTTATGTGAACGAAGAGAACTTCAGACAAATGGAACAACAGATTAAGGATCAGATCCAAGACATCGAAGAGAAAATGGCAGAGATTAATGCACTGCACGAAGAGATGAGTCAAATACAGCACTTGTTTGAGGAGACGAAAGAAGAGCTGAACACCAAAGTGACAGAACTGGAGATCACGTCCAAGAATTTGGAGAATACAACTCAAGACTTGAAGCAAACCAAAAGTGATTTACACATAACTACAGTCGATAGAGACGAACAAAAGCATTTGGTTGGCGTTCACGTGGACTCAGAGAAATTGCTCTCAAATCAGGCCAAAGATCTGCTGAATGTGGCGGAGACGACCACTTCTGACGTTCACAAACTTCACAGTAAAGTCGATCGACAGAAAGGCGTCGAAACAAACAATTGGACCAAAACTAATGAATTCCAGGTTTGGTTTGAGTATTGAATTAAAAATCAAACTTTTTGTTAACATATGATTGAAATTTAGG